ACAGGGGCGACAGTAGGGGACAACGATGTACGGTGCTGGGTGGGTGCTGGAAATACCGGGGACATTTTGTAGAGCCTGTGATTGTCTAACCACTCTGCTGTACACCTGAAACCAATACATAAATAATACTGAAAATAAACTGTAATTTAAAAAGAAATGAGGAAGCTTGTGCCTACCTCTCCTCTGTGGTTGCCATGGTGAATTCCGCCTGTAACAAGGCAGTCCGAGGGTACTGTTGGGACCTATGAGTGCCTTCGGCAGTAGGACAGTTAAGGTAATTAATGTGTAATTAACACAGATGTTCTCGCTGCATCTTCACACACTTAAGTCACCTAAACCATGTGCTTGGTCCGTACCCATCAGTCCGGTGACTTGGAAAGGTAAAGGCTTATTGTAAGGGGAATGATAGCGCGGCTGTGAACATGTGTGTACCTAGCCTTGAGTCCCCATTTAATTTGGGGGCATATATAGCTAGGAGTGGAGTTGTGGGGTCAAATGATAATTCTATGTTTAAATAGAATTATTCTAAATAACCATTAACCCCACCCACATCAGGAGTTAGCGATTAAAGAGGGCTGTCGGAGAGAATGTTCGGTGAGCTCAGTCCCTCCCCACAGAAAGCGGGGGCAGCCTCTTTTTGAGGCTGAGAGCCAGGGGATTCAAAGGGCCCTGAGGCAGCGTGCTATGGAGATCACGGAACATGCAGATCGGTAGGTGACATACGAAAGGGCTGCAGGCTGCGGCTGCCACTTCCTAACCACATAGCAAAGAGAGGTGACTGTGCAAGTGTAGCCCCTCTCCAGAATTTGTGGGTGCGAAGCATGCTGTGGGTTTCCCAGGGAGCAGAGACGGGCATCTCATTTAAGACAGTTGGTGTGAGGTTTTCTTAGATGCCAGACACCAGGACCACCGAGAAGCTGGAGCTTTGCCTGCGGGCCGGGAAGCTGCAGGCGGTGAGAAGCCACCAGGTGGAGCGGGCTACGCTCCCAGGTCGGGCAGAGCCCAGCGGTGACAGGTGAGTCTCCAAAGCCAGGAAAGAAAACACATTGGCGTTGAATTGCTTCCTTGCCCGTCTCGTGACTGTATTAATCAAAGAAGGGCTTACCTCACCTCCCTCCGTCCCAGCCATTACATGTTCCCAACCCCGGAGAGGACAGAAGCCTCGCCGAGTAATTTGGGATGAGAGCTGGAAGCCCCACATGGGAGGGAGGGAGGCTACCCAAGCTTCATGCCCCTCCCACTGTGGACACCCAGCCTGGAGCTGCAGAGAGAGAAAGATGGCATTCCGAAATTGTTTTGTGACTCACAGTGGCCAGGAGCGCTTTCCGTTCCTAGGAGGGATTAGCCCAGCCAGGGGCCCAGCCATGAATATCACCCGTGGAAGGCAAAAATAAAGTCACTGATGGTCATACCCCATGAGTCATGTCTGTTCAGTGTGATTGAATTTTATTTCCCTTCCTTAAGAACAAAGTGTGTGACTTGCCTACGTATCTGTCCCTTTTTTGTCTCAGCGCTGAGTCTGGCAGGTGGGAGATGCTCAGTACCTGGAAGAAGTTTGTTTTCTCTCTGTGCGTAGACTCTTTACTGCCTCACCGCACCAGCCTGTGCATCGCACCAGCCTGTGCTCTGCACCAGCCATCCGCTGGGGGCTATTGTAACAAAGCTGGGGGAGGGGGCTCTCTGTGCACTGCTACGGGGACTTGCAGGAGGCAACTTTTCCTTTTCCTCTTCAGCACAGGCTAACAGGACTGTCATTCTTTTTTAAAAATGTGTTTTAAGGATTTTATTTATTTATTTATTTTTAGAGAGAGGGGAAGGGAGGAAGAAAGAGAGGGAGAGAAACATTGCTGTATACTTTGATTGGTTGCCTTTGCACGCCCCTTACTGGGGACCTGGCCCACAACCCCAGGCATGTACCCTGATGTCCCAACTGGGAATTGAACCAGCAACTCTTCAGTTTGCAGGCCAGCACTCAATCCAGTGAGCCACACCAGCCAGGGCAGGACTGCCAGTCTCTAGATAAGAGTAGAAACACAGAGGTGAAAGTTCATGAGCAAATATTAAAATGGCGTGTCTCTCCCCAGTTAGTGAGCAATTCTCCATATCTCCATGCCAGTGCTTGGGACATTAATGGGGATGTTTTTTGCTTGAAAAAAAGATCTATAAGAGGGAGTCCAGCAAATGCGACTCATCCACACACATGGAGGCGGGGACAGCCTATGTCATGACCGGGGGCCTGCTCTAGAATCCCCTGGAGGACTTGCTAAAATGGGTTGCAGGGCCTCACTCTCAGTTTCTGAGTCGGTAGCTCTGGGTGGGGCCAGGGAATTTTCACCGCTGACATGTTCCCAGGTGACACTGATGTTGTTGGTCCCGGTCCACAGAGCCCCCGTGGAGAACCACTGAGCTGGACTAAAGGAGACTGGCCGGGGTACATTTGGCGACCCCAGCCTGAAATTTTCAGCATCTGAAAAAAAATCTTTGCCCCGCCATCTCCCCTCCCGCCACCGCTCCACCTCTGGCAAAAAAACAAAGAGAGGATTTTCTGGAGCTTCTTCCCCAAACCACCTCAGGTCCTTGACCTCCTAAAGCATTCCTCGCCGTAATCCCCCAGTGCTCCTTCACCCGCACGTGGCATCTAGTTCTCGTCCAGAAGAATCCTGAAGTTGGGGATCCCTCCCACAAGTAGTGACTAAGATGCTTCTGGTTCCCTCTACGATTGGCCAGAGGGAAGATGTGCAAAGTCTTCCCTCCACTCTTCCTCCCCCCACAAAGGGGACAGAGGTGGCCTGCTGTTGGCAGGAGAGACCATGGTCCTTTTGGTCAGCTTTCTTCTTCAGAGGGCCCGTGGGCATTCCCTCCTTTTCTCCCCACCCACAGAGCTGGTGCAACCAGACAGGCGTGGGGCGGCCCCCCTCACAGGCCCGTCCCCCACTGCGGCTCCCCCTCCTTGGAAAGTCAAGTAGAATAAGAGTGGGACCCAAAGGAGAGGGGCCATAGAGGTTCTGACGACTGGTGTGCCTGGTCTCACAGAGCAGCCTGTCCCTCAAACAACTTTGTGCATCCCGTTTGCAATCCGTGTGGGCCTAAGTGGGCCTGAATGCGGACTACACTTTAGAATCTCTGGGGTGGGGGGTGTTTCTACAAGTGTCCATGATCGCGCTGGCCAGGTAGTTCAGTTGGTTACAGCGCCGTCCCGATGTATCAAAGTTGCAGGTTCAATCCCCGGTCAGGACACACAAAGAAACAGCCAATGGATGGGTGGAAGAATAAATCAGTGCCTCTCTTTCTCTCACTTCCTCTCTCTCTCTCTAAAACTCATAAAAGATAAATAAAGTAAAAAGTGCCCATGCTCAAGACAAGCCCGTCTAGATAGGCATCTGTTAAAAAAAAAGAATATAATAAAGAGACAAAAACAAACGTCTCCTGAAGGACATGCAAAAGAGTGATACTGGCTTTATTCACAATGATGAAAAATTGAAATAGGACCATGGAAACATTGTGGCTGATTACAGAGAAGAGGCTGAAGGGAACTTGCTAGAACACTGAAAATGTCTGTCTCATCTAATCACACAAGTGCGTGAGTAGCTCTGTGAAAATAAGTATTCCGTATACATGAAAATAAATTTTGAGCTATATAGAAGATTAGTGCACTTCCCACACTTTACATATATTGTGTCTTTATTAAATAAAATAACATGGAATATCAATATGGGGGCCCCACTCCAGAGACTGCAACTTAACTGAACATTCTCCAAGCTTCCTGATGATTCTCTTGTGCAGCCCAGGTGGCAAAAGCCTGCCTTATAGGACGGGGCCAACCTTGGTGTAATCCTAAGGCTAGGGGGCAAAGAGGGACTCCTGTAATGTCCCCAGGGTTTCACCCAGCATACACTTGTTTGAGTCGCCTTGAAGGGAGAGCAAGGCTCTGGTGTTGAGGGAGAATCGAGCAAGCGGAATCTGAGACCGGAGGGGCAGGGACAGGCTCTCCCAGGCCCCTCCCCCCTCGAGAGCACCGGCATTGCTTGTGAAGGGGCGCGGCACCTGCGTTGGGAGAATACTTTCTAACCAGGGTCTGGGCCTGATAGTGACCTTGAGGGCCGGCTCAGGGTCCCTATAAGTAAGAACACGCAGAGTTCGGGTGCAGAAGATGCCGTGTGTGCCACCACCAGTTCCTCCCCCTGCCCCCTCCTATTTCTCAGCCAGGACCAAAGGCTTGGCGTGACACCAAGTCTTGATTATGCTCCTGGATTTGGGGAAATTGTGGAGTGGATTCAAACATAGCCAGGTTGTAGATTTATCAACAAACAGACAAAGCAGAGATAAAAGGATTAATAGTACACAGTGGGTGTATTGTTTTCCTGGGTGAGAATGGAGGAGAAAACAACGTAATTGTCACCAACCCAAGAAACAAAACTAAAACGAAAAGTTCAGCGCTTTGAACATTGTTTCTAGGAAGCCTATTGTTTATTATCTGTGGGAGAAGCACGATCACAGCAGGGAAAAAAGTTCTGAAAAGGAGGTGCTGATGGAAATCGTTGAAAGCAGGTGAATTGGGTCTTTGTCAACGACAAGGAAGTGACCTAAGAGAATGTTTGTGCAGAGCAGGGATAATCAGTGCCTCAAAGCCGGGAAAGGTTCTGGTTTTAGGGAGCATGTCCAAACTACAGAAAAGTTTTGTAAGAGTTTATTGGAGCCCAAATGTTGAGGACACGCCCAGAAGCACAATCTCAACAGACTGAGAAAATGCTCTGGGGAATGGCAGCTGTGCAGCTGGTTTTGTACATCAGAATCAAAGGAGGAAACATAAGGAAGACACATGAAGTCCTTTGGCAGTCCAGTAAGGAGGCGGAAGAAAGCAAAGCAGGTTCATCTCTAGGGCTGCATAAAAAGTAAAACAGAGACACTTACTTCTTTTACATTGGTGGGTAGAGGATGGTTAATAATTACCACTGACTCTCAGACAGAGGTGGTATGTGAGCGACGAGATAACAATGCGGGCTTCTGCAGTCTCGTGCTCTGGCGCTGGGGGTTGTGCCTTTGAGGGCCCTGGGAAAAAATGACTCCGACCTTTCAAAGGTATGCTGTCCTAGAGGCATAGGAATCTTGGGCAGGGCTCACTTTTAAGGTAAAGACCGGCCTTTGCTATGGGAGCTCCAGGCCTGGGACCAGACTCCCCGCATGACCTCCCCAGTTAGGAATTCATGACCAGACCATCCCATGTGGTTACTCTCAGTCACGGAGCTTGTCAGGCCTGCTTTATGCCCCCCAGCTTGTCAGGTTTATTCCGCAGCCTCTGTGTTGTCCACGAGTGTTTAGAAAAAGTCACAGTTCCCTCTGGCCTCCAGGTAGAAGCACCGATGTCACCAGCTGTGGTTTTGTTTCAGAAATACAGGCTGGGGTGAAGAATAGGTTTACAGGGATGAGTACGTGAAACATGGAGTTTATGCTTGTGTTCTTATTTATTAATTATTGTATTATTTTTCATATAAGCAGCTGTAATAGTTTAAACACTACTTTTCCCCCATCCTGCATTTGAAGGGGGTTTCCCAGCTGTGATGATACAGAAATCGGTGAAGGGAAGGAAGGATTCAGAAGGCGGTTTAACATAGTAGTATTAAAGGGTAAACTGAGGCATGCTAAGACATTTAATAGTTTATCTGAGCATAAACCGACTTGAATTTGGGGGCCAGATGAAACTGGGGCAGTTATCAAAGAGAGGCAGATCTCCGAGGCAATGGTGGGGGTGGGTTTGCAGCAGAGGCAGGCACAACCATTCTCACTGGGCACCCCCAGCACTAGGGGCCTCCTTCTTCCACAGGAGCCTGTGGGGGCCACCACGTGACCGCACCGAGCCTGCAGACCACGAGTTAGGTCAGAGTAAACAGCCCAGGGAAGTAAGATCAAAGTACACCACGGCCAGTCACATAAAGAGCCCTCTGTGCCCTCCCCGTGTCCTTTTACCCAATGCCAAAAAGCTGTGGGCACAGGAGGGGGAGGGGTGTCTGAGCAAGAAGACCACGCCCCTCCCTCTAGTCTTAAAGGTATAAACCAGGCCGTCCTGGGTGGTAATGGGGGAGGCAAGTTGGTGGTCTCTGACTTGAATATGAGATAGACTTCCAAATTCGAATACTTGCAAGTGTTGAGGACAGATATGAAAGCACTTTAATGATGGGGAGTGACTGACAAGTTAGGGCATCAGGCTGAGCTGGTGTGAGGAGAGCCTGCCCTCTAGCCAGGGATGGGGCAGAATCCACAGCTAATGACAACGTGCTCCCATCCCTATCTTCAACCCACAGGGGCTATTATCGCCTCATTCTACAACTGGGAAATCTGTGACTCTGCCAGTTGAGTGATTCAGCCAAGGTCTTGCCTACCAAGAGCAGTGCTGAGACAAGCCCAGATGCACCGTGCTCCAAGCTTAGGGAGACTGAAGCAAATCTCTGGGCAGCCACGCGGGGGCATCCTCGCTGTGGGCAGACAGGATGCAGGGTGGTGAAGGTTGGTGCGCTCTGACTTGGCCCACTCCAACGGATGTAACCTGCCTGATGCAGGATTTCTGATGTGAGCTGGTTGTTCTCTACTCTAGGATAATCTTCTGCTAGCACTGTGGAGAGTGTGGAAAGAGAAAATTAGCTCCAGTCCTAACCAGCATGGAAGGAAAATTGTGGTCTTGGGTAGAGTGACAGCCCAGATGTAATCTGAGCCCTTGGCCCCAACAGTTTGACAACCCAAGTGTTAGTAAAAGTGCGTGTGATTGTAACACAGAGAAATGGTTCCGGTCTAATGCCTGGCAGAAGCGGCCTCGAGGGAAAGGAGGGGAAGGACCGCAAACCAGACTTTCTTGGCCTTATCTCCCTTCAACCTCCGCCACAGGGAACTTTCTATCCGCAGCTCACCCCAGGCTGCGGATGACCCGGTCCTGGGGAGAGGCAGGCCTCTCGGGCAAAGGAACTCTCAGCAGCTGGGACCTGAGCTTGCTAACAATGGCCTGGCCTGCCCTCGGCAGAAATGTTTCCCCGCCCCTCTGGCATTTCCTCTTGGCCTCTGGCCTCTTCAGACCACACTCTAGGAAAAGCGACTCCAGACTGGAGAATGTGGACTCCAGAAAATGGGGATCTGTGGGTGTTTTGCAATGAGGGGAGTAACTGTGCAACATCTTGCCCTTGGGGTCTGTGACTTCACATTCCCTGGCTTGTCTTTCCCCTGGTCACTCCCCTTCAGTGTCCCATGCTGCCCCCTCCTCCATCTACCCCACTTCCTCTAGGTAAGAATTGGGAAAATTCTCAGAGACCTTCAGCCAAGTAAATTGGGAGTCTCCAGGACTCACTCTGGACCCTGTCTTCTCTCTGCACTCTGCATAGGTGAGCTCATTTCTGCTCAGTCTTTTGAGGATCTCTACATACTCGTGACGCTTAATTAAATTCATGTCCAGCCCAGAACTCCCGTCCCATTTATACCTGTCTATTTGATATCTTCATCTGTGTGTCTCCTGAGTATCTCCAACACGGTGGCCTTCAAACTGAACTTCATGTTCCTTCAGGAAACCCTGTTGATTCTATCTCCAAAGTATGTATCAGATGCATTCATTTTTCTCCACCTCCCTGCTTGCACTCCCACTTGAGCTAACAGCATCTTTCCCACTCGCCTTGCCATGGCCCTTTCCCCCCGACATCGCCTCCCAGCATGACCCTCAACTCATTCTCCATAGAACCAGAGTAACCTGGTTAAACTGCAAATCAAGTCATTTTAGTCTCACATGTAAATCCCTTACTGGCTACTTTTTGTATTTGGAGTGAAATCTAGTATTGTACCGTGACCTGGCTCCTGTCTACCTGTGTTAGCCATTAGTGCTGCTCACCTGTGCTTCCATGTCTTCTCTCCTGCTAGGTGCACGGGATGATCGAACTTTCTCATACCCTTCGAGTGGAGATAAGAACACGGGACTTGCTTTGGACAATGAAATGTGAGTAAAACCGACAAGAGCCAGTACATGACCATTGATGCATATAGTTTCTTCTCCTGCTACAGTGATTCAGGAAACCAGTGATGGTGTGGTGGTGCCACAACATTGAAGCAGCCTGAATTGCTGGTAGTAAATTCAGGAAAGCTTCCCTGGGAGTTTGCCCAAATCCATAGCAGGCTTTTGATGAGTGAGACAAAAAAAGATGTGGGGGTTGTGAGATGTGGGGGTTGTTTGTTACTGCAGCAAGACACAGCCTGATTGATACACTACAGAAAGGGGGGTTAGTTGTAGGAATCTCTTTTTTCTTAATTTCTTTAAGTCCTCATCTGAGTATATGTTTATTGATTTGAGAGAGAGAGAGAGACATCAGTGTAAGAGAAACCGATTTGTTGCCTCCCGTACACACCCTGACCAGGGATCGGAACCATCAACCTTTTGGTGTATGAGATGACGTTCCAACCAACTGAGCCACCTGGCCAGGGAGTGGGAATCTTTTTTAAAATAAAATCAAATGACACAGTTTTGTTTTCGTTTTCTTCAGAAAATGGTCTTGTTTTTCATTAGGCTATAAAAAATGTAACAACTTTTCCATTATTCACAAAAGGAATCACAATGAATACCCAAGTTGGAGTGAGTTTCTGGGTGGCCCAAGGAGCAAGCACACATGTATTTTTGGCAGGTAATGACAATCCTAGCGAACCACTCAGGATGTGGATAGGCAAGGCTCTGCCGTGGGGGAAAAGGATGTGGGAGAAACTACAGAGAGGGGATCGATATGAGGAAGAGGCACCTCGGATGTGTTTAAGTATCATTACTGAAGTTAAATATTAACCAGGAAAGACACACTTTACTCCCCATCTCACCCAAGTAACACCTGCTTCACTTTCTCCTACGTTTAAACTGTCCCAGGAAGGGGCCGAGCGACCCAAATGCGGCAGCAAAGGGCACCGTGTGAGGGAAACACATATGTTCTAAGAAGGAACGTTTCTTTGGCTCCTCGTTTCTTAGACCCCTGTGACTATAGGTCTTGAATGATGGGCAGTGTTAATAAGAACTTAATTTAGAGAGGGGGGAGAGGGAGGGAGGAAAAGAGGGAGAGACGACAGACAAATAGAAAAGTAGAAAGAAGGGAGGAGGGGAAGGAAGGGAAGGAGGAAGGACAGAGGGAAATAACTCTGTGACATGGGTGGGGGGGTGCCATCTCAATGGGAGGTGAGAGGTGACCAATGCTTCCTAAAGGCCCCTTAAACACCCACAGTGGTAGGTGGCATTGCTCTGCCCCCTTTCCCCCCGGGGGACCATACCCTGGGAAGCTCAGGCTGAAACGGTGTGGTCACTACCAGTAAACGTAGTGACTTCTAACTGAGCTGGCCTCCAGGCAGAGCAACCAGAAAAAGGCAATTCTCAGAGCTCAGTCTTCTCCAGGACACGTGAGAAATCACCAGAAGGCAGTGGACACGAGATCATTCACGTTCGTCCACACTCCAGGGCACTGCCAAGGCATCCCAGGGGCTAGGGCCCCTGTTTCGTTGGTCAGAATTCCCCGGTGCTGGGGACTGAGCAGGTGCCCTACCAGGCATCCGGGGCTCCGCGGCAACGTCTTGTTTAAGCAGAATGGGGCTGCATTGGTCAGACAGCACTCCTTCCTCCTCTGCTGTGAGCAGTCCTGTCTGGGCAGCCTCTCTTCTGCCGAAGGACAAGACTCTGTGCCCACCGTGCAGTCCATTTCCCACAGTCCCTACCCTGGAGTTAGTCCAGTTCTGTGCACAGCTGGAGGTCCTCACTGTGGCTCTGTCTCCTAGGTTCTTGGATGAGGCCGCAGATGGCGTCAAAGTCGGGACATCTGGCTGCGTGGAAAGCGTCAGGCTGGGCCATATAAGCCCAGGTTGCGGGCAGCTTGGGAGATCCTGGGAGTTTTCCTCTGGGGAAATGGATAGTGAGCTGGTGTTCCAGACCTGTGTGGGTTCCTTATGGAGGAAGGGCACTGGATGCCATTGCTTAAGCCAGATCCCACTGCCTGCGTTTGTGTTCTGCCCACCTGACCCTCGTGCAGGGGTGCTGCCTCTGGCGTTGTGGTCTCTTGCTGAGTCATCTGCTTGTTTTCAAGTAAGCCTGGGTCCCTTTGCTGTGGCAGCCTTTGCCCAGACCCTGTGAACTTGCCCTTGTGTTTTATGTGATGACTGGTCTCCTGGTGGAAGGCTTGGACCGAGCAGTGCATCTGCAGGTGTGTGCGCCACAGAGCCCCGAGGACCTGTGGGTAGCCTCCCTCATCCTCCTCCCGCATCCCTGCCACCTCAGGATCCGCCTGGTCCAGGAACAGTGAGTGCCTCCTCTCCTTGTTGATCCAAACAGCGCTGACCATGGATTCAGCAGGAGCTGGTGTGTTCCCTCCTGAGAAAGCAAAGGCACAAGCAGGGTCACTGCCGGAAGGTACGTGGGCAGCTCTCATTAATGAGGGCTATGCCCCAAATGGCACAGAGGCCAGGTCCCCAGTACATTGTGTGTGTGTGCACGCATATATAGGGAAACACATGTGATTCCACTCACACATGCTCACACAAGTGCACGCCCTCCCAACCTCGCTCATTCACATACTCACACCCATGCGAGCTGTCTCTGTCTTTCTCTCTCTCACGTACACAAGCATTCATTCATATAACAAATATTTACTGAGCACTTATTATGTGCCAGGTATTATTTATTCTAGGTCCTGGAAATTCAGCAGTGAACATGGAGACAACACCCCTACCTTCACGATGTGTTCTAGTCAGGTAGAAAAGCAGTAAGCAAATGAATGGAATAAAGTGGCAGCTGGTGACCAATGCCATAGAGAAAAACTCAAGCACCACAGAATTTAATAAGAGATCTCAGCTTTTGCCTGCACTGAGGGAGTGGCCCCTGGGAAGAGCACAGGACGTAGCATCTCGGGCTGAAAGAGTGTCAAGGAGAGAAGGCACACAGGTGACCACCTGTCAGGATTCACATGCACTCCCCAGTGGAAAGGACTCAACTTTTGGGTCTGTGTGTTGTATGATCCTGAGAACAGGTTTACCACCCAGGGCGGGGGAGGACTCGTCCTTATCCTTCCTTCCCACAGACTCTGTTGTAGGAACACATTTGCAGCACCCACTGCTGCCCTGAACGGACCTCAGGGATGGGGATGCGGAACCAAGTCTCTCTTCAGGGCCGTATCCTTACCACCTTGTCGAACAGGATAGTTTCCTGCCAGCTCTGGGGGGGCAGCGAGGACTGTGGGAGTGAAGGTCTATAAGGCACGTTCTTATAGCAAGTGGGCCTGTGGCCGGCCTGGAGAGCCCTCTGAAATGTTTACAAAGCTCCCTTGAGCATTCTGGCATTTGTCACCTGCAGGAGGCCCTGTAGGTGACAAAGGATATGGCAGGAGTAGAGAGAGAGCATTGGAGGAACTGAGTCAGAGGAAGCCCCTGAGCTCCAGTCCTGGGAACCCAGCACACACAGAGGACCTACGCAGCCGTCTTTGCCGCATCACAGTCCCGCAAGCACGAGCTCCAGTGGGAAGACAGAAGATTTGTTCCTGCTTCTTTCCTGCACAACTGTCTTCTTGGTGTAACAAACACGAAGACCTTTACAGATATTCAACATGCTCTGTGCTTAATCTGTGAACAGAGGAGGGGGGAGGTGCTGCTTCCTTGATTCCCCATCCTCGGTTCCATTTGCTGGAAGATAGGGGTCAGGGAAGAGGCGTTTTGCGCTCCTCCTTGGTTTCTCTCTCAGCTGGATGGAGGAACGGGGACTGGGGAGCTGCAATGAGGAGCCGCCTGCCAGTGCTGTTGGGAATGCCGGACGACATGTGCACATAAACCACCCGGCCCAGACATGAGCTCCCATCCCTAGTCCCTTCTCCACGAGACGAGTCCCACACTATCTGCATGTGACAAAAGCGCATGCCTTTTGGACACCAGCCACTGGGGCGCAGGGCCTTCCTGGGCCCCAGCTCATGCTTCCACGGTGCCCTTATGTTGCGTCAGTGCAGCGATGCTGCTCCTTGGAACCGAAAGTCTAGAATTTAGATCCATCCCATAACGCTAAGACCGGATGAAGAATGCTAATTCAAGGCCCTTCATTCCACGAATTAACTCCCAGACCACCTGCCCTTCCAAACACAACTCAATGTCTTGAGACACTGGAATCTAGTTTCAGTCGAAGCCAATCTCAACGGTCCCTGTATCCTCCTGGGTGTCTGTATGCTGTGCACAAGGCATCACTGTCTCCTAAACTTCCTCTGTGCACTTGGCTTCATGACATGAATACCACCTGTTGTTTCCTACCCATGAAAAAATATTTAATTGTAGTAAAACATGCATAAGACTTAGCATCTTAGCGACTTTAAGGGTATGCCTCAAGGCTCAGTGGCATCAAGCACACTCACGCCGCCAGGCAGCTGATCCCCAGCCCTTGTTCATCCTCCCAAGCTGACCTCTGTACCCGTGCAACCACGGCTCTCTGCTCCCCCCTCCTCCCTGCCCCTGGCAACCACCCCTCAGCTCTCTGCCTCTGTGAGTCTGCCGACTCCAGGGACCTCACAGAAGCAGAATGGCACCGTATTTGTCTTCTTGCGACTGGCTTATTTCACTTAGCATAATGTTCTCAAAGTTCAACTGTGGTTCTCCAAGGCCCACCTGTGAACGAGTTTCCTGCCTTTCTAAGGCTATAATATTCCGCTCCTACCATTTTGCGTTCTTCTCTCTGTCTCTCCATGCTTCTTTTCCTTGGCTTGTCTCTTAAGTAGTTGAATACTCCAGAACTCTAGTGTTCATCCTAGCCTCTTATCAGTTTCCATATTGACCTGCCGCAGTTTTACCCAAACTCACAGCTTCAGCTGCAAATCTCTACCTCCAGCCCCAGTTCTTTCCCTGAGATCCAGGCTGGCGGGAAGTCCCACAGACAACTGTCTCCGATGCGGCATATTCACAAACAGGTTTCCCCCTCCCTCCTTGAGTCTTCGTCTTCTGTCTTCCCTGTCTCCATGAATGGCAGGCACCACCGTCTACCCTGCTGCTCAAAGACTGGCGAGATTGCTTTTTTGTCTCCCTAGCAACACTTTCATCTTACTTTTGTCAATGTACCCTGATTTCTTCCTGGAGTAGGTAGCTCTGAGTTACAGAATGCACGAGGAAGGGCCAGCTGGGAGGAGTAGGGGAAGGGGATGGTGAATTCCATAGGGCATGTTAAGTGTGCGTTGTTTTTGGTACATGGATTCGTAAGTCTGAATTGCAGGCGTGTTGAGCATGGTGCTTTCATTAGCTAATGGTTTCATGTAATGAATGTTTGCTGAATGAATGAATGAATGAATGAATGAACAACATTGAGGATGAGATAGGGCTTTAGGAAACTTTCAGCTTAAGCCTGCCTGCAGAGGTGGGGGGCAGGGTTATTTGGCTGTGACAGTTGGTTCAAATGGATCCCGTTGCTTGGCAACAGCCCAAGTAATGGGAGATGGTCGCTTTCAGCTCAGAAGTGGCACTTTTGTCTCCAAAAGGCAGCACGCTTCCTGTCCAGGATGGTGAGGTCCCTCTGGCCCCTGATTTCTTTCCAGCCTGACCTACTGTGGGGCGGGTTTCTCAATGAGTGCTGAACTATACAGATAGCCACAGAAATTCCCAGCACAGCCTTGACCTTTCAGGGCACCTTCCCACCTCCCTCGACCTGTTCCTCTGTTAGAGGTTGAAGGGCTGGGGTTTGGCAATCACTTGATTCCTGATTCCTGTGTTCCTAACTTCCTCCTGCCATGAAATCTGAGTTCCCAAAAGGAACAGGCTTCTTCCCTTAAAGGGGGAGGGGTGCTTCTGTGTCTCATTGCACCTCCCTGGCTGCCGTCTGAGGCTGTGAGGAGCAAGCTGCCAGAGCCCTGCACTGCCTCAGGCCAAGACCCAGGCTGTTAGGGATGCCGTGTCTTCTCTCTCCTGAGCCAGGTTCTCGGGTTTGCAGGAGGGGCCTGGGTGAGACCCAGCCGGGAAGCAGAGGTCCCATCTCCCCACCTGGCTTAGCAGGGGGGCCCAGCCTGGCTCACCTGGCAGACCAGTCCAGCAAGATCAGAACAGAAAAGCAGAGGCCAGGGAACAGCAGGCTGCTGGCCAGATGCCTGACTGAGGGCCCTGGCTCAGTAGACAGAGGACTGAGTCCAGCAGGGCTACCCTGAGCCAGCCTCCCTGCTCTGGCTCCCACTCCAGGGTACCTGCCTTCCTGCTCCTCCCCACCAGGGGAATCTTCTCCCCTGGCCGAGCCCTGGGACCCCCAGCCACTCATTATCCCCCGGTCCACCCATAGCCAGGCCCTCCTCCCCTCCATGGCTGCTCCCAGCAGCCGACCAGCGTTACCTATGGGGAGCACCACGAGGTGGGCCTGGGTCCTCTGCTGCTGCCTCAAGCCTTTGTACTGGGCTCGCAGGAGCTGGATGCTGAGTGGGGGCCCTTTCCCCAGGGCCTGCGTGTTGGAGCCGTCAGCCATGAAGCAAGACCCCAGCTCCCAGAAGTGGGCCGGGCACAGGCTGGGGTAGGGCAACCCCTTCATCTGGATCCGGGAGAAATGCAAACACTGGGTGGGGCAGGAGCGGGGAGGAGTGGGAGGTGGTGGGGCTGAAGAAGGAGGGTGGGGAGGAAAGTGAGGAGGGAGGGTGGAAAGATGCAGGGGAGGGAGAGGGAGGGAGGAGGCATCGGCAGGGGGACGCTAAGTGGAAAGGAGCAGAGTGGAGGCAAATGCGGGGCCCAGTGAAAAGGTGGGGGAAGGAGTACAGCGGAGTGTGGGGTGGGGAGAAAGGCCAGTGAGGGAACTGGGGAGAGGAGAGGAGAAGGGGTGGGAGAGAGGGAGGAATAGTCAGGGGAAGCAGGGAAAATGGGGAGCAGGAAGGGGTATGCGAAGAGGGAAGGGGAGAATGAAGGAAGAAGGTGACAGTGGGGGGGTGTTAATAGATGAGAAGAGAGGGAGGCGGGCAGGGGCTGCGGGAGGAGGAGGGGGGAAGAAATGAGTGGGGGCTGAGAGACTGAGGGGCACAGAGATGAGGGGAAGGGCCGGGGGATAATGAGGAAGGCAAACACAGCTGCTCAGGGTCCTTCTGAGGGCCCAAGGCGGCGGTGGTGTAGTCCAGGTCCTTCGGTGCTGGATCCTGAAGTTTAGTATCCACAGTGAGGTCTCCCACCCACCGGCAGAGCTGGAGCTGATGCTGGGAATGCCGAGTGCCCGCTCAGCTCACACCCCTTGGACTGGCACCTAGACACCCATCAGCAAACCTGTCCGTTCAGTTTGCATTTGGAAAAGAAACACCCTCTTCAGCCTCACGCAGCAGCTGCCCGGGGAGTGTGCGGGCTGCAGCCATGTCCCAGGGAAACCCAGCAGCAAAGTTGTTCCCAAGATCTGCACTCACCCCCAAAACGCATCTCAGGAAAAAGCCCAACCCCACTTTGTCCTCTTCCTTGGGGACAGAGCCCAGGGGACCCCAGGCCTCCAGCCAGCCCCACCTCCCTGACATTTGATGCAGCCTCTGCGGTCTCAGCGTTCTGCCACCAGGCAATGAGCTGGTGTTTATCTTTCCCACAGCTGGGGACTCCCTCGGCCTCTGCCCGCCAGCCCCCCACCCCCACCTCTGGAAACCCTCTGAATCTTAGACGTTCTGTCTTTTGCACGAGCTTCGACCTATCCTTGCTCCACTTAGACGATGAAGCCCCTTTCTATCTTCTCCTAACATCAGGCTAACAGCTTACCCCAAACCCAATATGACTACAGAGGCAATGGAAACAGAGACTGGACGTAGAAGTCTGAGGGGTTAGCTGGATGGGACCTAGTCACCCGATATGCATAAGAGGCGGAGGGTACATCTCCACTGGGCAGTGTGTGATTTTGCTAGGGCTGCAGAACAAAGCAAAGTACCACAGATTGCTAGTCATCTGTGTGTCACTGGAAATTGCTAGTCGTTGGATGTGGGTTGCGTGTGGATGCATGTCCCAGTCATTGGCTGTGGGGGCGAGATGGAGGGTGCACTTCCTTGGGAGATGTGTCAGTTTGCTGGGGCTGCAAAATAAAGTACCGCAAATGGGGGGCCTGAACAACAGAAATGCCTTATCTCACGGGTCTGGAGGCTCGAAGGCTGAGATCAAGGTCTGTAAGGTCAGTTCCTTCTGGTGACCGTGGAGATAATCCATGCCGTGTCTGCCATCCAGCTTCTGGTGGTTTGCTGGCAATCTTTTGTGTTCTTTGGCTGGTAGATGCATCACCTGATCTCTGCCTTTAGAGTCACGTGGTGTTCTCCCTGTGCACACGTCTCTGTGTCAAAATTTCCCCTATTCATGAGGAAGGACAACAGACGTATTGGATTAGGGCCCACTAATGACCTCATCTTCATCCAATTATTCTTTATCTGCAATGACTCTATCTCCAAATAGGGTCCCATGCTGAGGCCCTGGGATCAGGACTTCAACGTAAGAATTTGGGGCACACAATTTCACATAGCAGGCAGGGGGAATGGCAGTGCCTTTCGTGCAGGTGGTGCAGGTGGGTAGCAGATGGTGAGGGGAGGGAAAAGAGGAGGGCTTCATTTCACATGTTACATTCTCGGTGTTGCTGGGTCAGCAGAAGGGGGTTAGATGCTTGGTAGAGAGATGTGTCATCAGTTGTGAAAATGGTGCAGCTCATTACTGGGGAAGTTTTGACATTAGACAGTCAGGTATGTATGGAACGGAGAGACGGTCCAAGTAGCTCCTCCTTTTCCCTTTCAGTCTCCCGGTCAGCTTGTTCCTGTCCCTGTGTGGTGGGCAGAAGACAGGCTTCCCCTGTGCTCCTCCAGTGCCTTCCTTCTCTCCTCGTGTCCCAGGTCGGGCTACTTTCTCTCGGCCTCTGGTCCATCATTGTGCTCCAAGTGTTCAAAGAAAGGATGAGTGGGCTAGGCTGGCGGAGTTTCTGCAAGGGTACTTCTTAACATAATTTCTGTACTATTATGTTTTTCAAAAAGGTCTCTCTCTTTCTGCCACCTTGTCAAGACCTTCTTAGTTTTCCTGGCTTGGGTTGGGTGTGGCTCCATCTGCCGAGTGGGTATGCACTCCCTGAACAGGGTTGTAGAGGTGAAGATGCCCACCCTACACCCTACGTGGTAAGAACGGAAATCTGCAGCCCCCATGCAGCAGCTGACATCTTAGAATTGAATGAAATTTCCAATGTAGGAGAATATTTCAAGATACAACGCTCTGGAAAGACCAATATTTAAGGGGCAGGTGGAAGTAAGAAGGTAATATTGAAAATTGAAAAAGAGCAATCAAAATGGTAAGAGAAGAAGCCATAAAGAAGGAAACCATGAGGAAGGGAAGAAATGCCACAATGAGGCAGGGTGGCCAAAATGTGGGAGAATCCTCTGGTCTCCCCCCTTCCCTATAGAATAGCACCTGGGAAATGTGTGTGGACGACCGGCCATCCATCTGGCTACACATTGAAACCACCCTGGGAGTTTTTAAAGAAACACCAGTGCTGGGGTGTCTCCCCTAAATGGCCTGATTTAACTACTCTGGGGCGGTGTCTGTAGAGCGACACATTTCTAAAGTCCTCCACTGCTCTAGAGAGCGCTCTGCCTGGTTTACCGAGTCCCTGGGCTTCTGGTTAAGACACAAGCTTCTTCATCCCTTTTTTTTTTTAATATTTTTAATGAAAATTCTATAGTTGTATTTTTTAAAAGATTTTATTTATTTATTTATTTATTTATTTATTTATTTATTTTTAGAGAGGGAAGGGAGGGAGAAAGAGAGAAAGAGAGAAACATCCATGTGTCGTTGCTGGGGGCTGTGGCCTGCAACACAGGCATGTGCCCTGACTGGGAATCAAACCTGCGATGCTTTGGTTCTCAGCCCGAGTTCAATCCACTGAGCTATGCCAGCCAGGTCCATCCCTTTTTAATAGAGGGTCTCTATCACGAGCAGAAGGCAAGAGGGGCCCCTCCATGCTGGTCCAGCTGCCATAAAACCTGCCATAAATTGAATTTGACTTCTGTTGGGTTTTGTCACTAAGTTGTCAGGCTTCCCCTATCAGTATTCATAGTTGTCTTTCTCTATGTGTGCATATTTGTAGATGTTTCAGTAAGAAATATCTATTAATTGCCAGTGGTATGCCTTTTCGAAGTTTAAGTACCTTCTTTTACTTCAGACAGTTCTCTCCCTCTTAACACTCAAATCTTTAACCCATTCAGAGCTGATTTTAGTGTTGGGGTGTTAGAGATAAGGCAAGGAGGTAGCTGTTTTCCCCTCCAAACAATTGCCCAGTTGTCACAGTACCGCCTGTGGTATAATCAACCCTCTCCTTGTGATTTAACAATAATAGTGTAAGAAAAATATGGCAACTGTACCCCACCTCAGTAATTCTTCAGAAATAACTGAAAAATATGATTGAGGCTGGAGGGAGCCCTTGCTGGAAAAGGTTCGGTGCTGCCACCAAAAGGGTGTCCTTTAGCCCTGACTGGTGTGGCTCCGGTTGGTTTGGTGTCTTCCCACAAACCGCAAGTTCACAGGTTCGAGTCTCAGTCAGGGCCCATGCCTGGACTGCAGGCTTGGTTCCCGATTGGAGCGTGCACAAGAGGCAACGGACCAGTGCTCCTCTCTCACACTGATGTTTCTCTCCCTCTCCTTCTCTCTCCCTCCCCTCTCTAAAACTACATAAATCTCTAAAAGAAAAAAAAAGGGGAGTGTCCTTTGTTATTCAGGTAGACTCACAAGGGGAGCAAGAAATGAGATTTAAGTTTGCCCAGGGTTCAAGATACATGAGTAGGGATGAGATGCTCTGGTATTTCAGGAAATGTTTGCCCGCATGTGATTAAACTGCACTGAACCCGAAAATTAAATTCTGTGGGTGAAAGAGGAGCCTGTGCTTAATCCAGCAGGTCAGCTAGCAGGTCCTGGGGTTCTCACTGGGGCTTAGAGTAAAGGAAAGTAGCCCTAGCGGATCCGGGTTCGCTCCTGCCCAGGAGGTCCAGCTATTCTATGAGACCTGGGTAGCAAGGTATCACTTCTCACTAGGGCGCTACTCCAGAGAGAGTCACCCCACCTGGAGGCACTGTGACCAAGGAGCAGCCATGGCTGAGTGGAGCGCCAGAGGCTTGAAGAAGGAAGCTGTAGGAATGGTTTGTGAGCCCAAGGCCAGCAGCGCTAGGTATAGAGTGGGTACGGGACAGCCGTGAATCCTGTCCCGGCGGAGGAATCCCATTTCAAGTTCTTTCCACTGGAAACCCCAGGGAAAGCTTAAGTTGCCCCAATCTTTGGTTTTCCCTCGTCCCCTCTGTCCCCAGGTCACTAATCTGCTTTCTGTTTCTACGGACTTGTCTCTTCCTATCAATGAACCAAAGAGTATGTGGCATTTTTGGTCAGACTTCTTTCACTCAGCATCGTGTTTTCACAGTTCATCTATGTTGTAGCAGAGATGAGGACTTCATTCCTTTTCATGGTTGAACAACATTCCATTGCACGTAAATATCTTCTTTATCCACTCATCCGGTGCTGGACATGTGGGCGAGTGCAGGAGCATTCCCGTGAATAGTGCTGCTC